AACATACCTGAGGAACATCAAGACATACGAACATACATAAGGAACCCCAAGACATAAAACATACCCAACGAACCCCAGTAAATATAACATAACTAAAGAACCCCAGTACATAGAACATACCTAGCGAACTCCATGACATAGATCATACGTAAGGAACTCAACGCAATAGAACATACCAGGACATAGAACATACCAGAGGAACATACCAGGACATAGAACATACATGAGGAACATCAAGACATAGAACATACATAAGGAACCCTACGCAATAGAACATACATAGGGAACCCCACTAAATAGAACATACCTAAGGAACCCTACGCAATAGAACATACCAGGACATAGAACATACCTAAGGAACCTCAAGACATAGAACAAACATAAGGAACCCCAAGACATAAAACATACCTAGGAAACCCCACTAAATAGAACATACCTGCGGAACCCCACTAAATAGTACATACCTAAGCAACCCCATGACATAGATCATACATAAGGAACCCAAGGCATAAAACATACCCAAGGAACCCCAGGACATAGGTAGTTCGTCGGCCATCTGGTACTTATACATCAGTGTGGTGTGGAACATAATGGACCCCAACCCCACCACAAACAGCGATACTGGAAGGAAGGAGACGAGCCCGCGTGTGAGTACTGAGGAAAACTGGGATGAAGGTCGACACCTCCGTACGGATACCACAAACATATCACCATTTTTAATAAATTGATTCCTGAATACCTGAAGCTCAATGTAGTATCGCACAACAGGCCGGCAGCAAGAAAGCCGTAAACAAAAACCACTTAGACGGCATGAAGCGCAGGATACGATTGGTGGATAAAACGGGACAAAACTGTACCAAGAAAACACATACGATCTACCAGGGATATATATATTTAGTATGTCCCAGTGATGTAATTCAACATAATACGATAGAAATAACCATATATAGATAATGGATACAGAAACAATAAACCCCCACTAAAGTGCTACGACAGGAAGTCTACAGAACAAAATGCAACCGATGGTATAGACACTTCATACACACATCATACGGATATTGATATTCCGTACGTTTATTTTCAGCATTAAGCCCTTGATTACTTTAAATAACGTATTCTTTTTTCCTTCCGTATATACTTCACATCGGGCCTACAGTACAAATAACATAAACCGTTTATCCGCACGTCGAATACAGGCGTGTGTTTGGGAGGTAAGATGCTAACAACACCCATTGTGCCAACTAGCTTGACTGGCCACATACCAAATTACTGCACTCCTAGATACCAACCGTATACCTGCCCTGTGTATCTCTGGGAGTCGAACTCCATCCACTTCAAGGGGTTTTAAACCCTAAACCCTAGCCTCGAATCTGCGAGCGCTCGGTAAAAAAGACACTCGCTTCCACTCAAAATGGCTCAAACACACGGATGGTATGGTACTAGAGAACAACGCTCAGAGGTGAACGTGCTCAATTGTACATACCATACGCCTGGAAGAATCGAGGTTCGTATCCGTGATATTTGGACAGGGCCATTCCCACGAGACCCCCAAAGGATAGAGCGCCACTGGTCATCGTATTCCAGAATTCTGCGATATACGGGGAAACCTGTGATGGGTGTATGAAGAGATATGGCATTAACCACACACGTCTGTTGTATTGTAGAATCATTGAACCTAACATAATTCACAGTTTTGATGTTGATGTTTGTGCAGAAACATTGTGCTAAATAGATATTAATATGATAATATATTAATATACTAATATTCTAATACATATATATACGTATGTATATAAACATATATATATATATATATATATATATATGTATATGTATATGTATATG